GAGCTGGGAAGGGGCTGGAGAATTCCTGAGGGAGCTGGGAAGGGGCTGGAGAATTCCTGAGGGAGCTGGGAAGGGGCTGGAGAGTTCCTGAGGGATCTGGGAAGGGGCTGGAGAATTCCAGGGGCACAGAATTCCTGCTGCTGAGCTGGGAGCTCCTCCGGGAAAGGTTCCAGCTCCTTCCCCCGGGATTCCCGGCTCCAGGGGGGGAATTCGGGTGGGTTGGGCTGCAGGATCCGGTTTCCTTCCTGGCTCTGGCCCTCCAGGATGCTTCACATTCCCAACTGTTGGTGCTTCCAAGGAATTGGGGAAGGAATTCCCCTTCCTGCTGCCCACAGCCACTCCCAAGAACCATCTGAAAGGGATGGGTCTGGCTTGGCAGGGTCAGGGAAGGAAGGAAGGGCAGGAAAACCGGGATAGAGCCAGGGAAATGGGGATAGAGACAGGAAAACCAGGATAGAGCCAAGGAAAACCAGGATAGAGCCAGGAAAACCAGGATAGAGCTAGGAAAACCGGGATACAGCCAGGAAAACCGGGATACAGCCAGGAAAACCTGGGATACAGCCAGGAAAACCAGGATGCAGCCAGGAAAACCGGGATACAGCCAGGAAAACCGGGATACAGCCAGGAAAACCTGGGATACAGCCAGGAAAACCGGGATACAGCCAGGAAAACCTGGACAGAGCGAGGGAAACCCAGGTAGAGTCAGGGAAAACCGAGATACAGGCAGGAAAACCTGGATATAAGCAGGAAAACTGGGTTACAACCAGGAAAACCTGGATAGAGCGAGGGAAACCGGGATAGAGCCAGAGAAGCCAGGATAGAGCCAAGGAAAACCAGGATAGAGCCAAGGAAAACCGGGATAGAGCCAGGAAAACTGGGATAAAGCAAAGGAAAACCGGGATAGAGCCAGGAAAACTGGGATAGAGCAAAGGAAAATTGGGATACAGGCGGGATTTTGCCCCAGCTGTCGGTGTGACGATTCCCAGCAGGAATTGCCGTTTGTGGGGAGGCCCGGAGCCGGGGATGCTTCCCGGGGGAAGGGGCAGCTCCTGGGGCACAGGGACCCCCCGTGTGTCCCCAGCTGGGCTGGCAGCAGCTCCCGTGTCCCTAAAGCTGTGGAATATCCAATTCCAAACCTTTGCAGCGGGACAGGGCCGGCAGGAAGGAGGGGGCAGAGCTGATTGCAGCTGAGGTCAGCCTTGTTTTGCCTCCCGGAGCAGGGATCCCTGGAAAGAACGGGAGAAGGGATCCCGTCCCTCGGGAAAGCTCCGGGGCTGCTTTTTCCCTTTGCTGCCAGGTCCCTGCTCTGCAGGGCTCTGAGAGCAGCGATAAAGCTAAAATTGAACCTTCTCAGAGCAGGACCTCCCTGCACTTTGGAAAGAAGGAAAGGAGAAAGCCAAAGCAGCCCAAAATTCCAGGGAAAACCGACAGCAGTAAGGCTGTGTTGTCACTGCAGGCTCAGCTCAGCTCCAGCTGCCTTGCTCTGCAGGGAAGGGATTTGGTTATTGATTAATCTGCTGTTGATGGGTTCATTTTAGCTGGGAAAAAGGCCTGGCTGAGAGCTTTGGAATGGGTTTGGAATGGGTTTGGAGGTGGTTGGATTTGAGCTGGTTTGTGTCGAGCTGATTCCAGCAGCAGCTTCGCCTCCACGGGATGGTTTGGCCTGGAAAAATCCCTCTCAAGTCAAAATTCCTGGTGGCCTTCCCTGCCCCTGGAACCTCGCAGGTGCTGCTGCATTTTGTCAGCCCCACACCCTGCTCGTGCCCCCTGTTTGTTTATCAGCTGCGCTGTGTGGATGAATTCCTTGGAATTTTGGTCCTTTCGGGTCAATTCCAGCATTCTGGAGGGGAATCAGGACTGCTCCAGCAGGAAGGAGGAGTGATCCTGATGATCCAGGTGCTCTTTCCATCCCCTCCATCCCAAATCCAGCTACAGCCTCCCCAGAACCCAGGGATTCATGGATGGTGCTGTGGGAATAGCTGGAAGTGCCCAATTCCAGAGGCTTGGAGCAACCAAGGGTGGAACTGGGTGAGCTTTGAGCTGCTTCCAGCCCAAACCATTCCATGATTCCGTGAACCTCAGGGATTTCCCATTCCAAGGCCAGTTCCAAACCTGGAACTGTTTGAGGAGTTTGTGCCTTTATCCCCAGCTCCTTTTTGCTCTCCTGTCCTTTCCCAAATTCAGACTTTTTTTTCCCCCCCATCCCTCACCTTCCTATTTCCACGGAGAGCTGGCCCTGGAATGTGACATTTGTTAAAAACCCCTGTTAAATAAAAAAGCAAAACAAGTTTAAACTGCTTTTTTTGGCCGTTCCTCATCCCTGAATCCGCTGCAATCTGCAGGAGGAGGAGGAGGAGGAGGTGAAAGGAGCCCTGGCCTGAACCCCAGCCCAGAGCCACTGACGTGGGTTGGACTCCTTTAGAAAAACCAAACCAAAACAACAACAAAAAAAAAAAGACCCTGCTTGTGTTCAGCCAGCGAGAGGGGAAAACAAGCAGGGCTGGATTTCAGCTCCGATGGATTCTTGGAATTCATCCCTCTGACTTCAGCTGCGTTGAGCAATGCTTTACTGGGAAAGGGGACGTGAGGCACGAGGGATTTTCGGGGGGGCTTTGGGAGCTCTCCCAAGGCCAGCTCGTTCCTGCAGCCTGGGACCGAGGATTTTCTTGGAAATTCAACCTGCCAGGCTGCTGCTTTCTGTGCTGAAATGCTCTGTAACCGTCCCTGGGATGATGCAAATGCTGCTGCTTTTTTCACATTTCCCCCATCCCCCCCCCCCAAAAAAAAAAAAAAAAAATGATGCAAACTCTTCTTCTTCACGTGAAATGGGGCAAACTCCACTTTTTCTTCATATTCCTCCCCCAAAAATAGGGGAAGTACTTCTTCCTCCCATCGTTCCCTCTCAAAAATGGGGCAAACAGCTCCTCTTCATATTCTCCTCTAAAATGGGGGAAATTCCTCCTATTTTTCATATTCCCCCCACAAATGGTGCAAACACTTTTCCCTCTCCTCATTCCCCCTGAAAATGGGAAAACACTTCCTATTGTTATCATCCCCTCCAAAAAATGAGGCGAGCACCTTTCCAACTCATTCCCCTCAAAAATGAAATTTAATTTCCCCTCAAACTCCTTCTCTTCTTCATTTTTCCCCAGCCAAGTGATACAAATCCCTCTCCCTCCCTGCTTCCCCCCCTAAAAAAATGCAATTTACACCCAAATATTTCCCTGAGCCCTCACCCAGGCCGTGGCTGCGATTTATAAAAACAAAGGAGAATGAATTCCACGGCTTCCCTGTAGTTTATTCTGATTATTGATAAATGAATGCCAGCCCTGATTTTCCAGTGAACAATTGGATATTGATCAAACCAGGGATGTCCCTCACCAACTCTGATTAATGCCATGATGGAGTAAATATCCCGAATTATACTTCCATTAATAACACAGCTCCATCTGCTCGGGGTGATGGATCTGAATTCCCGTTTTCCTTGGCAGGAGCAATCGAGGAATCCAGAAAAATCAGGGAATCCACGCGGATCCGAGGCTGCTCTGCAGTAGGGAAGGTGAGCAGAGATCTCGTGATTTGTCTCCTTATTGATTAATTTCCCTTTAATTGGTTCATTTGATCTGGAAAAGGGTTTGGAATGGGTGGGTTTGGATTGGGAAGTGCTGACTGTGGGTGCTGCTCCTTATGGGGCCTCGTTATGTGCCAGCAATTACCTCGTTAATTAGGGAGGGAGATCTCTGCATTCCAGAGGGGACCTGGAGCTGGGTGGGAGCTGCTGTACCATGGGAGGTTCCGTGAACAGCTTGTTTTTGGCTTGTTTTGGGCTTTTTTTTGGGTTTGTTTTGGGCTTTTTTGGGTTTGTTTTGGGCTTTTTTGGGTTTGTTTGGAGGTGACAAACCCAGAGCTGGGATGGGAATTGTGGCTGTGTTGTCCCAGGGCTGGATCATCCTCAGGATTTCCAACGGCGCTGGATCCTGTTGGAATAACCTTGGGAATTCAAGGGCCGGGAGGCTGAGCCCTCCGTGATTTTGGGAGAGGTCTGAGCCCCCTACAGGGGCTTTGGGACAGGAGGACATTGGGGTGATGAAGATGATGATGATGATGATGATGATGATGATGAGCGCTTGCTGCTCCTGGGTCACCCGAAGGGCTGAGATCCAGGTGGCTCCAGAGCTCTGCGTTTCCCCGCGTGTCTCAGCCAGGCTTTGGAAGTGGGAACGGGCTGATTTTTGTGCATTTCGGGTGAAAAATCCCTGAAAATCCCATTTTTTTGAGGGGGGAAAAGTCATCCAGGGTTTCGTTGCCTGCAGTTCCACGGTGCGGGCGGTAGAGGGCGCGCTCGGGCCGCGGTTGTGGCGCTTTGATTTGAATATTTATTATTTGGATTTAATGGCATTATTTACATGGAGATTCCTTAATCAAAGCGCTCCCAGTGCTTTAATTAAAACTGGAGCCACCAGCAGAGCGGGGTGAGGCTCTGCAGGGCCACCAGGAGCACCGGGGCTTTTCCAGGAGGATGAAGATGAGGATGAGGGTGAGGATTAGGATGGATTTCCCCCCACTCTTCACCCCGAGCCGAGCTTTGCACCACAACCCCAACATCAAAAAATCACCCCAAAAATCCAAATTGCTGCCAAACGCCCAGTGCCAGCAGCAGATGGCAGCACCCTGCCCTGCTCCCGGTGTTATTCCTGGCCAGGAGATTCCCTGGATCCAACCCCGCAGTCTAGACTGACTGACAGACAGGATTCCTGTGCTCTTAGGTAAGCACGGACAGACACCCATTATGCAAATTCCCAGCCGGAGAGGCCTCCCAAACATTCCTCAGATTGTCTAAATAAGGTGCTGTTTCAGACCCAAACTGCAGCCAGCCTTTTGGGTGCCTTCCAGCTGGAGGTGGGATTTTTTAATAATTCTTTTATTTTTTTTTCCCCCCTGATCAGCATAGCCTGAATTTTGGCCTCAACAGCTGCCCAGATGTGCAGGGAAGAGAGAAAATTGAGCAGATAAAAAAACCTTTTAGGCTCCTGTTGCTGCTGGGCGCTGTTAAATCTGTTTTAAACCTATTTTCCATTCAGATTGCACGGAACTGATGGCATTTTTTTTTTCTCTCTGAGCTGCAGAAATGAGATGTGAGTGGGGAAGTGTTGGAGGGTGCAGTGACCCAGCCGTGCACGGAGGTGTTGCCCTGCTCAGGGCCTGCCTGACTCATTCCCTGGGCTGGAGGAGGTGGGGATGGATCATCAGGGATGATCCAGAGCCTTTGGAGCCGTCCGTGGCATTTGCACTCTGTCCTTTTTGCACACAGAAATTCAAAGAGCCTTTCAAGCCCCGTGACTGCAGAGTTGTTTGTGCTGCTCTGGCTGTTCCACCATCCTGAATTTCCCAGGAATTCTCCTTCCAGTCCCTAAAAATCCATCCCTAAAATCTGTGGCTAAAATCTCTCGGGTAAAAGCTGTCCCTAAAATCCCCCCCAGGTGTTGTTGCAGCCCTTTTGGGAGCCCACAAAGAGCTCAGGGCTGAGTGGCAGCTCCTGAGCTGCTCCAGGAGTTGGGAATTGGCCCTCAGCCCTGCCAGGAAAACATTGGAAAGCCTCCAGCTCCCGAATCCACGTGATTTTCTGGGAATTCACTTGGAAAGGCGCTTCAGCAATCCCTGCAGGGGGTGGTGCTGGCTCGGGGTGAGGAGTTTGCTCTGGTTTCTTCGTGGTGGCCTCTCAGCTTGTCAGTACCAGCTCTGCTCTTCTATTCCTTGCCTGAAGAAAGGCAAAAAAACACCCCAAAAAAATCTGTGTGTTGTTTTGTTTTGCTGTTTTGTTTTTTTACTTTATTGCATCATCCCTCCTGTTTTCCTGAGCGTTGTTTATTTAGGGGCACAGTTAATCCTTTAAGGATTAAAGGGAAGGGAAAGGTTGGGATGTTCACACTTCTCTTAGGGGGAATGAGGAGAAGGAGAGGTTCTTGCTCCATTTTTGAGGGGGAATGAGGAGAATGAGAGGTTCTTGCTCCATTTTTGAGGGGGAATGAGGAGAATGAGAGGTTCTTGCTCCATTTTTGGGGTGGAATGAGGAGAATGAGAGGTTCTTGCTCCATTTTTGGGGTGGAATGAGGAGAA